TTTTTTTTTTAGCTGCAGCAACATTCATAATTTAACGAAAAGGGGCGAGAAAGAAATACCTGCGAGTGGAATACGAATTAGCCAACATGTTTATACTAGCATATATGTAAGCAAACCCTTACTGCTGTAGGAGTTCCATGTATTTTAGCTCTACCCAGTGACTGCTGGCCCTTTGTGGTTGCTCTAAACAATAGTCAGAACACACACACACACACATACACGCGCATATATATATATATATATATATATATATATATATATATATATATATATATATATATATATATATATATATATATATATATATATACTAGGTCGCAGGTTCGGTTCCTGCACACAGCGGCAAGCTATCTTTTCACCCACTTTTGTTTCGTCACATTTTCATTACAATCGGATCTAATAACTTCCCCTATACTTTCCTTGGCATTATTGTCTGCTAGATTTCATTAATACGATATTAATGAATTCTAACAGACAACAACGCCAAGGAAAGTATAGGAGAGGTTACAAGACCGAATTGTAAGGTAAATGTGAAGAAAGAAAAGTGGGTGAAAAGATAACTTGCCGTGGGCAGGACCTGAACCTGCAACCTTCGAATAACGCGTTCGATGCTCTACCACTGAGCTACCACAACGGCTATCCTCCCAGCCACTTTATTGGGTATATATGTGAATTGAAACGTGGGAGTGTCAGTCAGCGCCATCTATAGCCATGGCGGCGAGTGTGGCACAGTCTTTTTATGAGCCTGTGTGGCGTCACGTAGCACGTGAACTTATTAAGAGCTATAGCAACTGACCAATCGTCCCAAGTATACAACCTAAGGCACCAAGTCTGCCAGTACGAGACGCTCGTTAATGAATAAGGGAAACAAGTGTACACTTAAGGGCTCGTTTTTGCGAGTTGTGACACAATACTAATGCAATCTAACAGACAATAAAGCCAAGTTATTCGAAGGTCGCATGTTCGGTTCCTGCCCACGGCAAGTTCTCTTTTCACCCACTTTTCGTTCTTCACATTTACCTTACAATTCGGTCTAATAACCGCCCCTATACTTTCCTTGACTTTATATATATATATATATATATATATATATAAATTTCCTCAGTCAATTTTCACTGTTTACGAGACGCTTTTCGACGACGCTACGCAACTGGCTTCCTCCCTTCCATTCAGTTATTGCGGACAGCTGAGTTGCGAAGCGTTCAAGACGTAGTATCGTAAGTTTAGCTCTTGTATAATGTTTTCTAGTCTGAGACCTTTTGCGCTGTCTCTGATATGTACAGACATGAAACGCTGACGTACATACATATATTTACACCTTGCTCGTTTCAACTACGCTACACCATGCGGCTTCTTGATTTCGCTCAAATGTGCAGTGGATGCAGTAAGAACGCTAAAGTCAGCCTTAAACAATTCGGACGCTTCTAGTACGCTGCAATTAAATCCCAAATGTTTTCAGGACTTACAAAAGTGGCTGTAGCTCGTATAAATTAAATAATTATAATCTAATCTTTCGACCTGAATTAAAGTAGCTTTATCACGTCGGAAGGCCTCGTAGAAAGAGCGTGAAATTGGCTTAAACCTATAGTCTCCCCCTTTGGCATTGGCATAGCCAAGGGGGGAGTTTAACCCCGGAAATCATGCCCCGCCACGGTGGTCTAGTGGTTAAGGTACTCGGCTGCTGACCCGCAGGTCGCGGGATCAAATCCCGGCTGTGGCGGCTGCATTTCCGATGGGGGCGGAAATGTTGTAGGCCCGTGTGCTCAGATTTGGGTGCACGTTAAAGAACCCGAGGTGGTCGAAATTTCCAGCGCCCTCCACTACGGCGTCTCTCATAATCATGTGGTGGTTTTGGGACGTTAAACCCCACATATCAATCAATCAACCCCGGAAATCGCAACGTTTCGTACGTGTATACGTTGGCATGCACTCATAACACACGTGGGGAATCGGCATTCCTTCCTTTCTGGAAACAAACTTTTCGCTACGCCCCCACAGCGGCGACTGCACTGATGCCGAGTATACAACGCCTTCTATTTCAAAATGCACATTAGGTTATCAAATCATGGAATAGAAAAAAATGCGATTAGTGTGCCGGCTGTGTGGTGAATACGGATCCTTAAGTGATAATCTAAGTGTTGACAATAATTGCTTCTGGAAGAAAAAGTTTAACAACAAAATAAAATTGAACGCAAACCGGCATGTTACAGCAATTTTCCAGTGATCGCTGGCTATTCCACACAGCCCATTCAAGGACTTTTTAGTGAGATGTGTGAGAAGTTAATCTATAGCACTCACTGTTCAAGAAAAGCTGCAGAAAATTTCTAAAGATGTTAGTGAAAGTGAGACATGATGGCGCTCTATGTTTACGAGGGCGCTATAAATGATACCACCCTTCATTTAGTCTGTAATATAGATGTAATTAAACGATACACACTATGTTCGTGTGTAAGTGCTTTCTCCATACTTAGTAAGTTATTACGCTGACACTATTGCTTGCAAACCGACATTTTTTTTGTCTTTTTTTGCAATTCGAGTGCACAGATAAAGCTATATCTCTGAGACTTGTAGATTAAAAGTGTCGTTTTGACGAATTTGAAGAAGTACCGCGTCAAAATAGGTGCATATACATAATCATTCAAAAGCATTTCACATTTCATTCAAAATTTCGGAAAAAAATTGACATCTTATTGATTACTGTAGGATACCGACTAACAAGGCAAATAGGCAGCCTTTCACCGGTTGTGTGAAAGAGAAATCCGGGACTGTCTTAGACGATCAAATAAAGAATGGCTTTCAGCCTTCAGCGCTTCTCCTCACTCGCACAGATAATAATTCTTTATTTCCCCCTTTCAGACTTCTGTTCCCCGGTTCTTTTTATAACATCTCCGCTCTTATTTAAAACGTCCTTGGATGTTAATCCGACAAATAATGCTTTTCGAACAGTAGAGTTTCATCCGAGTGCGGCGGCTGCATTTCCGATGGAGGTGGAAATGTTGTAGGCCCGTGTGCTCAGATTTGGGTGCACGTTAAAGAACCCCAGGTGGTCAAAATTTCCGGAGCCCTCCACTACGGCGTCTCTCATGATCATATAGTGGTTTTGGGACGTTAAACCTCACATATCAATATCAGAGTTTCATCCGAACCACAATTTCACCTAGTGACATCAGTAGTATCACGATTAGATGCGTGTGTAGTTGGTGGATACAAAACTAGACGTTGAGTGTACAGCTGTGGCCATTCTTGCATAGAATGTAATTCGTAACCACTTGTCCACGTTTGCTGAAGGCTGTAACTTTCTGGGTGAGTCACCCTATTTTTCGTAACGACAGCGTTTTAATTCGTACCATGCACTCTTGTAACTCTTATCTTTTAGGTTGTACGTGTCATTTCATTTTTCACCCACTTTTGTAGAGAAAGTGTGCCATTATCTACGTCCACTGCTGTTCATGGGCAGTTCAAATATAAATCAGTATGCGAATGAATGACTAAAGCACCACTTCGAACAAGCACATGGCAGTTAATTGTGAGAACAATCAAGGAATCCACCGTGGATGTACGCGTTTATATACTTTATTCTGTGGTCAAGCATTGCGACTCCCTTTAGTACATGTTCCTTTTTGCTGAGAATCCTTAGCAAACACTGTATACATATAGTTTACCGTAGCGTTAAAACACAATGCTAAGACAATTTATTATTTTAGAGTCAGCTTAGTACTGCTGCTAGAGCGCCCCTCTTAAGGCATCACGTGCCATGTATTTTGACTATATGCAACACACACATTGTGTAGCATCTGGCCGTCTTCTTATGTACACAAACTTACCTGGTGAGATAAATGGTATATTTGGGCATCAACTGCCTCTCAAAATTTTGCATATGCCATCTGCGCCATACACTATTTAGGAATTTAGGATTTATTGTACAATAACGTGTGTTTGAACAGCTTGATTTAGTATGCAATAATATTACTTTTTATTTTTGTTGTGTTTTGAGGATGATACTTATATGCATAAGTCTGCATATCAAGAAAGAGGCTGTTCAAAACTGTTGTATACTTGAAAGTGGCCACTTCATGTAATAATACATCGACACAAAGCCATGAATGTTTTAGGTGATCATTAACACAACAATGATGGTATTGCGCACAATAACAGCCACACAAGGAAGCTACACATGCACACAACTGCTCCACTAAGATTGCTTGGTCATTCGAGCGTGAGCACAGGAAACGTAGTACCTCCCCTCATCGCATGGGCTCGCACCTGAATAATATAGCATACATCCATAGCACTGTGACAATATTGGCATCCACAACAATACTGACCATGAAGTATCAGTGAAAGCTCGCGAAGCTCACGGCACTGAAATTGGCTAACATCTCTAAAGTAATCATACAAACAGCGTTTTGTTTTCTCATGCGAACGAGGTTTATTTCTCACGCCGTTCCACAGATACATGCCAAGTGCAGGTTCCGAGTAATGTAACCGCGATGATTGGTCGCGTTGTCGTTCGATATGAATCGCAGTCGAGATTTATTCACCAGCTTAGGGTTACGCCAGGGTCACGCTAATGGAGATTACCAGGTCACTTCGTAATTTCCTCCCAGCTAGCGTTTCCCGCAACACTGCCGCGTTACGTTAGTATTAGTGTCCTTTCAGGAAGGAAACGTATACCCGCCCCTCTCCATTAGCGTATCGTACTAACCGTCCCAGTCACTACGGCGCCGTTCCACCTCAAACAGCCAGCATTGATGCGGTTCACCAGGGCGCGGTCATCGCGCTCACATAGAGTTCGTCATTGCGGGCATGCAAAACGTGCGAGACACTGTTGCATGCATAGCGCGCGGTTAACGAAAGACCGCCTTCTGGCTACACATCCGTACGGTGACGATCGACATTTCAACGTCGCCCCTGATTCGGCGTCGTCAAAGATGGCTGCTGCTCTCGCAGTCGCGTCGACTACGCACAAAGGCGCACATAGAGGTGGCACTGATACGTACCGGTGTCCCGTGTACTCCGAAGCATATTTAACTAGTTGGCACAACTGGCTCCGTGGGCTTAAAACACGACGAGAAGTGTCGGCCGGAAAAAAAAACACAGACTGCCGAGGTCCGCTGCGCGAGCACTGCGCCGTATTCCAATCTGCCTGTGAAAATGCAGACTGCGCCCTCGGCAGCAGACCGGGGAAAGAAGGGAGGAAGAACGAGTGGATGAGAGAGGGCATAGGATAAAACTAAAAAGAGCGTAATAAAAGAAATTACCGCGCCGCTGCCGGAACCGGAAACTGTGCATTTTCTTGCTGGTCTCCTCACGCCTTGTCGTCGGTGTAGTCACCGCTTCGAGGCTAGTTCCCTTTCTTGGGTTTGCTTCCCTTCTTCACCGGCGGGGCAGCCCCCTCCTCGCCCCGTTTTCACGAGTGTGCGCTTGTCATTCAATGCCCAAAAGCAGCTCCTCATTGGCCCGTTTGAACGGACGCATAAAAAATGGCGATGCCGCGCGCCGTTCATTGGCGAAAAAGCCTGTTTGGGTTCCCCTCCCCGGACTCGCGCCACGGCGGCGTACCTCCGCCGCCATGAGGGAGAAAGAGGCAAGGGCTAGAAAGAGAGAGAGAAGCTTAGTTTGAACGGTTAGGCCTAGCAGACGGCTGCGGTGGCTCGCCCGCGCCGCGGCGGGGGCCTGTTTTTTGCGCGCCATGGGATTGCAAAGCTCGACGGAGAGGCCGAAGGCGCGCAACCCTTTCGCTCCGCCGCAGGAGCCGTTGGCCGCCGCCGGGAGTCGACAGAGGGGCGCGCGCGCCACGCGGCCCTGGTCCCGCCGAACAGCGAGGGCACACCGTCGCGTGTGCAGTGCTGTGTGCCGACGGCGTCTCGTCGTTGCCGGCGCTGTGCAGTGTGTTCTGTGCGCTTCTGTGAGCAAGGGGTATGGTATGCTTTGCACGCGGCTGCTGCTGCTGCCGTCGCTGCAACGCAGTGGGCGACGAGGGCGGAGGCCGCAGCACCACTCGGAGCCGTGCTACTCTGCAGGTGAGTCCGTCACCCCGTTTCTCTCTTATCGCGACCGACACTGTTTGCCAAACCCGAAAGTGTCTTCGACAACGCGTTTTCTCCTCGCTTTTGGTATGTTGGTTCCTTGTTTTGCACAAGAGTGGGCGACCCATATTCGTGTCCTCGCGGGTCCGAGGTGCACCGTCTAACGTTCCACGTGTACCGAACGCGGCGTGCGCTGCTTCGCCGCTTCGTCGCTGGGGGGAAGAAGCGTCGTGGGGTTCCAGTGGAGTTCGGCCATTCTTTCGCTGGTGCTAGTCGATGCAACAACAATTATACTGAGCAAATAAAATGTGCGAGTGCGCTGGGTGTCCCCGATTTCGAGTCCGCTCTAGGATGTGCCTCTAGCGATCGGGTTATTGAGGGCACGCGCGGGTTGGGCAGGTTGCCTGCCCTTCGTTCGGTTGGCCTCGACTAATGGACTAATCTTGTCGCACTCTCAGCGCGATATCTGTGACCAGGCTCACTCGATTGCGATAGCGGAGGGCTGACACGTTGACTTTTTTTTTATTATTATTATCTTACCTCCGAAGGATGCCACGCGCCTCCCCTAATTTCTGTTTCGAATTCTTTCAAAGTTTGGCGTAAAATACTGTTAGCTCAATTTGGCGCTCCGGAGGTCACGAGAAAAAATCACGCTGAAGCCGCTCAGGTTTTTTTTTTTATTTGAAGTCGTGTGCCGTTTTTTGTGACCTCAACATTTTGGCGCGCTTTGCACAGCACTTAACCCATGGCTGGTCATAATGTCGCTGTGTCTCGCAACTTATTACAATATCTGGAGAGTATGAAAACATTACAAGGTGAACGTAAATTGCGTCTCCTACATATCTGTCGAAATATTCGCCACTCCTCAGGCCCCACTGCACGCGTTTCCAATGCACACATATGATCTCCGTATAGTCTTTTGGGACTATCACATTGTCCTGCAGTTATCGGCCTATAGGTGCTAACAGTGTCATATTTTGTACAAACCACATATGATCATGCTCCACGCGAGCTGTATAACGTACGCGCAGATTATCCTACATTCAATAACGCATCTCACTGGACGTTTGTATGATTGTCGAACAGCCTGATCAGGCAGTATGTCGGTGACATTGCGCCGTTGAGAGAGGTGCGAACGTTACAGACTTTGCCCTTCTAATATATCTGCGTTTATTATGCTGGAATCCACGTACCGCGTAACATAGGATTATGTACACTATCAGCGAAAGTACCTCTTTTACCGCTATAGTCACCTACACACATCCTTTAATCCTGTATATTACATGTCTTCGCTAATTGGCCGTTCATTTGAAAATGGCTTGAAGCAATCGCGGGAACATAAAGTTTCCCAAAATTACCTATAGAGGGGACTATGGCGCTGCGATCGTTCAGCGACCATGGGAATGATGGGTAGTACACGGATTTGTCTAGTCTTCGCACTTGCGGGCAGCGAATCGCACTTGTGCCTTCCTTTATTGATGCTTTCGGTTTCGCTTCACGAACGCTTTTGAACTTCGTGAACTGATTTGAAATGGTATGTCTAGAAGGATAACGTGGTGAAGTGCGACCGCTGAACATTTGCTGATTTTTGTATGGTGCGGAAACAGCTGCAGGCCACACGAACACACACGGAGACAGAAGTACGAAGGTTAGACTAATCTACGTACTACCCATCATTCCCATGCTCGCTGAAGCGCCGTACGTTGCAGCTCCCATAGACACTAGCACCAGAGTTCGCTCTGCATGGTGTATATTTAGGGGGTTCAGTTGAGACCTATCGCTCGTGTCTCCATTAGTTGCGTTCATGCCTTTTTATGCAGCAGGGCGCCCGCTACATTTGCAAATATGTGTGGCGATTACCGTCACTTCTCCTGGAAAAGAGAAATGCGAAAGGTCAGCGTCACTTTCTTTTTTTTTTTTTGAAAATGTGGCGTGCTGCAGATGATGACAATGATGATAGGTCCATCTGCGCCTTGAACGTGCTGTTGCCATGACTTCGGTGATCGTACCACGTGATTGCCAGCGTGCCTGGAGTATGCTCATGGCGCTACTTCCGCGAGTCATTCATTATTTGTGTAGCCGGTGGCTGCTACTTGGGCTGGTTGTAAGGCAGGGCTGGGTATTTCTCGGTGAGCGCCGTAAATCAGGCACTCGTCTGATGCCGCAACAAAGTCAACGGCCGCGAGGCTTGATTGCACCATTCTGACAAGCAACAGTTACCGACAAAAAAAAAAAACAATAATAAACACGCAGTTTGGCCTGCGTCGCTTAAACTAGCTCAGCCATGAACCGCCTTTCTGACGCGTCCTCTGTGTCAGGTCGCTACCAAATATTTGGTGCTCAAGCGTGAATGTGTATTGGCCACTTTAGACGTAGGTTTCGGTGCATTCATAATGCACTGTAAGTGCTCGCAGTTTTTGCTTAATTAACAACTAAATGAACTAGGCTACGTGGGACGCACGCGCATAAGAACTGTCGGGTTGGGGCTTTCGACGTTTGATTACGTTAATAATTGACGTTGCGATGTACAAGAATAAAAAAATATATATTCTTTTACCATCTTAATGGGGCGTCGCCAGTGTGTCTCATGTAAAGTCGTCTATATTGTTTTCGAGGTACATAAGATTGCGTATTTCGTACACAGGCAAATGTTTTGTTTTAGTTATACGATGCATGGGGTTTATACCAACAGGAAGCTTCTGCCAAAGGGAAACTAATTATGGCGATTCTCGAAGGCGCTTGCCTATCAATTTATCGCGCTTAGGTAATCGCTAGCCCTTTCAGCGTTTATTCCAGCGAAAAAGAAAAGGTACTCTAAATTTTATATATATGGCCAAAAAAATCATGGGGCAGATGGACGTGTGAAGTGACGAGATGTCGTGCAGCTATATATAGAAATGTGACTACCGCCCACGTGTCGGAAAGTCTCCTTGTCGAGCCATCGGTCCGGCGACATTGTTCGACGATTTGCGTAAATGTGCGTCATACCGAAGTGACCTTATAAAAAGAAAAGCAGACTGAGCTAAACGGAACGTTTCATTGACAATAAAAACATCTGCAAACCTGGCCGGCACCTTCCTAATGCTTCTCAAGTGCAAAACACACACGCACACACAATGACATACGCGAACATCGATTCCACATGCGCGAATGTAAAACCGCCATATGCATGACCTTTAGTTTGGCGAAATAGCAATGTCGTATTTTTTTTTGCTGTTAATTTTCTTACTCGAAATTTATCCGTGATGAAATGTATATTAGTGCCGCTATCAATATATTTGTCGCTGGAGTATTCACGACTCCATATATATATATATATATATATATATATATATATATATATATATATATATATATATATATATATATATATAACGCTAAGGAATGTATAGGGGAAGTGATATGAATCAATGTAACGTAAATAAGAAGAAAGAAAAGTGGGTGAAAAAAATAACTTGCCGTGAGCAGGAAACGAACCGACGACCTTCGAATAATGCGTTCGATGCCCTAGCCACTGAGCTCCACTTTATTGAGTTTATATGGGAATTTAAACGTGGGAATGTCAGTCAGCGCCATCTGTAGCCATGGCGGCGAGTGTGGAACACGCTTTTATGAGCTTGTGTGGCGTCGTAGCACGTGATTTAATTTTTATTACGACTAGACAGCTGACCAATAGTATCTCGTATACCAGCCTACATTGTTTACATAACATGGTTCTAATAACTTTCCCCTATATACTTCCTTAGTATATTGTCTGTCCACACCTGATTATATCTATATATATATATATATATATATTATATATATATATATATATATATAAGTGATAGATATATATAATATATTATATATAGATATATATATATATATATATATGTATATATATTCCGTCGTCGCATGCAGTGATATACTTAGGAAACCGCGAACACTCTCCTTATAGCCCGCTTTAACATTCTTATGGTGCAGAATAGTTTTAATAATAGACGAAGCAACATTTCGCCGTGATCTAGTTTTTTTTGCAATCTTTACTTGTTTTCTCTGCAGGTTGCCCTGGCCCAGAGTTCATAAACCACAAGTTATACTGTTTCAGTGATTACTTGATCCACTAAATATATGAATTCATGATTTGCTTCATATAACAGATCATGATTCTGTAGAAATCGTT